CTATTAGGATAGCACACCAGAGAGCCAACACCATACTCAGGTCCAAATTTTTCTCCCTAAGAGTATGTGCTTTATGGAATGCCTTACAGCGACACATCGTTATAGCTCCTTCAGTCGACTCTTTCAAGAGGCGATTAGACAGTTATGTCACCTGGCATGGACTACCACGCACGTACTCAGGTAGTCACCAACCTCAGTACCCCCCAACTCCTAACTACCACTCACTATCTCTCTCCTTAATACACCCACATTACCTACTAATCCTTCTGTAGGAATCAAACCCACGCGACCATTCGCGCAATTCACAAATACTTTTCTTTCGTTCTCTTTTCACCCCTCCTTTTCTTCTCCTTCCCTTCTCTCTTCCCTATATATTATTATTTTTTCCTCCCTCTTTTTTCTTTCATTTTTTTAAAAGATTTTTTCTTTATTCTCTCTTCATTCCTTTACCAATACCGTAATATTCTCTTTCAGGTGCCTACACAGACAGAAGTCACAGCAGTCCCCTAAACTTCCCAGCAACCCGTAGCTCTCCAATCACTCTTCAAATTACAACCTACTAACCCACAAAACACCCACCTCACCGAAGCTAAAAGCAAGAAAGCAGAGGGTATTTCCCCGTCCACTGCAGGAGTGAACCGAACAACTCGAACCAAGCCCTAAGAACTAGACGCGAGAGATCAAAAACTACCAGTTTTCAACGCTCGCACTATCAATATTGGATGTTGGATATTGCCCCTAAAGCTGTGAGCAGGAAAATGCAAAGACTTCTGCTACTATCGCAGGAGTACAACCAAACAAAACGAACGGAGCCTCAGACCTAGAAGCGAGAGCTCAAAAACTACAAGTTCCTTCTACTCGCACTATCGACGTTGGATGTTGATAGCGCGTTCTTTGCTTAAAAAGCTACAGGGTCTGTCGAACAGGCAAGTAACAGGTGCACATATTATCACAACTGATGTAATCTGTATTTTAAATTGACATAGGTGTTGGCGGCAGTTTGCTTATCGTTTTGAATTCCCTCAGTAATAAATGAATATATTTTGATGTATGTTGCGTAAATTAGTTACTAGTTGTGTTCATCAATGTTTCCGGTTTCTTAAAGGATTTACAATATTATCCAATGAGTTTCATTCTTTAAAGAATATTTGAGCATGTAAGCTTTTTGTATTCTACCTGGGCATTGGCTATTAAGTGAAATCAGCAGACCCGATGCGTTATAACTCATCGGGTATGCTGTAAAACATGAACCCAATCAACGTTTCCGCCGGACAAAACAAGGAGGCATGTTCCAAATTTCAATAAAAACTTGGCAAAGCGCAGAACGCTAACCCTACTTTCTTCGCCTATGCTTCCTGCCCCCTGATTCCCCGAGGAGGATTGCCCGGCGGTTTGCCCTATGGTTCCTCCCCAACTGGCCAGGGGTTCTTCGAGTAAATTTTGACTGGGAAATATTCTGCTTGGACGACTAAAACCCATAACAATCGTCGATATCTATTCGTAGTCTCTGCGTGCCATTGATTGCAGTTTGGAGAACACGATGTATGTGTGCTGCCAGAAGGCTGTCAATTTCGCCACAGAACAGAACGTTAAGTTGTAGTCATTGTAGCGAGAGACCTCAAAGCTCAAGTAGGTGGGAAGGCATTTTGGAGATATCTACACAACCTCATACCAACGAACCGATAATGGTGGTCGTCTGTTGCAATTTGGTTCTGACAACCATTTATTTCTGTCCAGCACTAAATTCAGGCACAAGAAGAATTACTGTCTCATTTGGTGTCCACCGATATCGAACTAACAATAGACAGAGACAGATCATATTGCTATGAGTCGTCGCTTAAACGAATTGATGAAGGATTGCCATTCTTTCTGGACTCCAATCATGTGCTGCAATATAACATACTGAGTTCTAAACTATCAAAAATATTTTGAGTAGTGATTATTATTATGGTTTTGGTCATCTGTAAGTTTGCGCCTTACTGGTCACGAAAAACAGTGACCAGGGAAACCACTGTTCCCGACTGGAAGATTGAAGTATCAAGAGGAAGCAGTGAATCATTTTTCTGCACACGATAGAGAGACAATGTAAAAATGGAACCAGGCACTACTGTGCAATAGCCCAAATTGCCACACTTTATATCAGCACAAACGGGAAAGTTCTGGGATTAAAGATAAGGAAATAAAGTGGCAAAAAGAAGTTGAAAGAGAAAGGAGAAATTAGAAAATACTGGATTCAATATGACGATTAAGCTAAAGATTATGTGTGTGCACATGTGCCACTGAAATCGATCCTGAGCTATGTCGCCTAGAGTCTACATCCACTGGTTTCTGTTGTCATGTGGGCGTCAACAGGTAGGTCTATATTTCCTTACACGGCTCAGATCGGTAATGAAGGAATTCATGTGCTGATGCAGTTTTGGTTTTCTTTTTCATGTACCTCAAGAAATGGCCTTCCACTGTGTGGTTAGCCGCCTGTACGCTTCCAGTAGTATCCAAGATCCAATCGAACGTTAACTACCCGCCTTACCTCTAAATGCTGCTTTGCCCTCACCTTCTGAACTATATTAATCCTCTTACAATTTCCTCAACCTTTGACTCTGCTATCATTGCCAACGATCGAGGCCATCGAAACATCATTCCTAGTCTCCTAAGACCCAGCTGCCGTTTCACGTCAGTGCTTTCAATTTCCATGCTGAATCGAACAACAGGTATTGCTCTACAGAACTCTAGGACCTCGAGCCATGGAAGTATGGTGTGTTTTTTGAGACACATATACGACATGCGAGTGTAATTATTCATTTGACCTCACCTCACCATTGCAGTGAATCTTCCAAATTCACCTTATGAGTGCCCGGAGACTCAATGGTTGGCTCTCGTTGGAGTAAGTGAAGCATTGAGTTATCGAACAGAAAGCGTGCACCTCGACTGGATACCAGTCAACAGCCATCTGTGCACTGTTCTGTTGAGTGGGTCTGTAACAGCTATGAAGGATCGTGAAACTTGCCGAGGCCTATTTGTAATCTTCGCCTGCGAGCCCACGAGTTTCATTTTGGGTGATGCTAAGTATGAATTGTGCCAGAAGCTGTCAATTTCGCCACATAGAAAAAGGTTCAGATACAGCCATAGCAGCAGGCGACTTCAGCGGTCAGGTAGGGAAGCCGGACCAATCGAAAAGGCATCTTAGAGGTATTTACGGAATCTTGTGCCAACAAACTAACAGCGGTGATCGTGTCGCAATTTGTCCCCACGATCACTTGTTTCTGACTAGCACTAACTCTAGGCATAAGGAGAGACGCTGTCTCACATGGCGTCCACTGACTTGGAACCGACTACGGACACAACCAGATTACATTGTTATGAGCCATTTTTGGAGAGGATCAGTGAAGGGCTGCCGCTCCTTCTGGAGTACGTGTTTCGACTACAATCATGCGGCAGTACGGACTCGTGTATGTCTTCACCTTACTGGTCGCAAGAAACTGGGGGCAGTGAAGCCTCTCTGCTCGATTGGAAGGTGAAGTACATTATAAGGGAGGAGATAGCTAAGTATTTATCTGAACGTGACAATGCTGATCCTGAAGAAACTTGGTGTGATATTCAGTCTTTTGTAAAGAAAACGATGAAGATAATTGATAACCCAAAAGCCAGCGAATTTCCACAAGCATATCCAGACTGATTGGTACAAAAAAACCAATCCCAGCTGACCAAAACGAAGAGCAAAAGCAGCTAAAATATGGATTGACTATGTCTTCCCAATGATCGCGAGCGTGTGTGGGGCATAAGGTAGATGTAGAAGGTCTCAGCATTAAGTAACACTTCAGTTATTTAGGCTAATTAAAGAAATTAGTAAGATGACGTTGGTAAGTGAAACCATCCCTAAAAAGGATGGGACCCTGATGCTCTCCAGATGACCGAAACGTTCAGTGGTGTCCAACAAGAGTGCCCGCTGCTACCGTTAATGTCTAACTTGCTTTTAGATGTACTAATGGATTCACGGGAATCGATTGACCTGCTCTCTGGAGGGCACCTGGTTGGTGTGGTTGGATGCTTTATCAATGGTTGTTTCGTAACCTTCCTTGCTGCCTGTTAACTAGTTGTTTCACAACCACCCACTTTTATGTTATTCTATGGTAATGATTTGCTCTTACTTGTTCAGTAAAAGATAAACTGAGTGGATTTGGCATGCTTAAAGCAGGGTTTGGAAATTATGAGAACTATTCTTATCTTTCGGTATTGTGGTATACTTCGCATAGTGAATATCTGTAAACAGTTCCTTTTGTAATTTGTTTGAATTTATCAGGGAGAGTTGATTTTAGTTACTGGTGCAGTTCCATGGTATTCGCTAATGGATGCAGGTTTCACTGATCTTAAAGACTGAATCAGGATTTTTTTCAGGTCCTCCTTATTCGGTGGGATTGTCTAGCTTGTAAAACTTGGTATCATCTTCATCAAAGTATTCAGACTCATCTTACCGCGAATTTATTCTAGTTTGTGAAGACGCCAGTCGGCTGATTTACTACACAAGCTCGAGTAACTTAAACAAACAAAGAAAGGAACCATTATTTTGTCTATCTCGTAACCAATATCTCATGGCGTATTTTTAGCACCGAGAAGTAAAGTTCATTTTGTAATCTGTCATAGAGTTTTCGTTTGAGAAAGAAAAAGAACGATATGATATGCTGTATTTTTTGAAATAAAAGCTTAGCGACGTTTTAATAGCTGTAATATGAATCTGATTAGTGAAATACACCTTTATTGTAGCCTTGAAAAATGAACCAAAGTCTTATAAAGGAGAGGGAGGCGTTTCTGAAGAGGGCTATGGCGATCTCCGTTGTTGAGAAACCGAAAGCTAATTCTTGTGCCCTTCCAGAGGGGAATTGTACCCCTAGTTCAGTGCCTCGTCGAGCGCCTAACTCAGTTTCCTCTGTTTCCGAATCACGGTCTCTTGAAATGAGACCTCAGTTGCAGGGGAAGTTTGCAGTATTATCAAGGTCGTGAAATATATGAAGGTTTGTCGCTCGTTACCTAGTATAACAACTTATAGCAACGCCATTTGGAAGGTGATACTCATCCTTTATCTGTGGAAGAAATCTTAGAGGAAGCCGTACTGCATGACACACCACCAGCAACCATAAAGTGGCTGGAGGAAGAAGTAATTTCACTTAATTGAAATTATGTTAATTTTAGGCTCTCCCGAATAATCCCAAGATCCGCGTTACTGAGGATTCGAAATTTGTATTCAGGCCGAGATATAATATTCGTACTCGCAAGGACCTCTATCAACTTTTTCGTCGTCAGGAACTTAAAGGACTAGGAGGAATCTACCTAGACGATCTAACTGAATCCATCCCTGATGTCGAGAAAATTCTCAGTGTAGGTAAATCAGTTCGAATTCAATTTTTTCCAATTTGCACACCTCCTTATGAGATTATCTTCTCTATAAGATATGAGTCATTCAAAAGACTGTTAGAAAAATATTTATTTTTCTGGTTGTTTTTATTCAAATGAAGAGTTTATCTGTGTTTACTATGTAACCTGTGGTTATTTCAAGTTTACTAGTCTGTATGTAAATGTGATGCAGTTTGAGTTTATCAATTGTATAAACTTACTTAGTTTCAAAACTATCATAGTATCGTTCCGCCTACTCAAGCGATTTACCTACTTTGTGAACTTCAGCAATAAAATCACACTGTTGGAAAGGCAAATAATGCCAACAAGAAGAATCATTCATTCAATTGAGAGAGAAAATCAAAGTCAAACACTGTAAAGTCGGAGACATCTTAGGTAATATCAATCAGTACTACTATAACAAAATTAAACGGCGACTGTAGATATCCTTGGTGGATACCACTGGGTGTCGTCACCCCACACGACAACTCAAAACGTGACTGTGAGTTTGAATATAAAGAGCTTTGATTAGCATCAAATAACCGCTCGGTACTACTATCGCATACAGGGACTGGCACAGCGTCTCTCGGTCGATGGAGTTCGACGTCATCTTCAGGTCAGGCAATTTGGCTAGTATCGGGCTCCAGTAAGCATCCCTGTGTTCTGAAACCTATTGAAGGGTGAATATTTGATTGATAAACCCCGTCCAGTTTGCTGGTGTCGAGTTCATGTTAAGCGTCGGATGACTGGAATGGAAGGATTGACCTTGTTGAGACTGATCACAAGCACCTACATCACTACGACTTCAAACGGAAAGGCTTTCTCACATCCAGTGGGAACACAATGTCAGCAATACCCGTTTTCGTGCTCAATCGAGAAATAACCATTCATTGAATGATGCTATTTTGAATCATTGGCTTTGGTATCTTTGAAATGTGTTACGAGTATCTTCCTACCAGCTTCCACACCATTCAATCTTCACCTTCCCTGGGACTAGTTGGAAAAAGCAGTGTTAGTCTGTCTTTGATGTAGTGCGATGGGATGAATGATAGCTGCGTTGGTTTAACAACTCTGGATGCTTCACCGTTTCGTGGATAGTGTGCAAAAGATCATGCAACTCAGTGGCTTGAGACAATGGCAGACATGGTTGTGAACCGAAGTCAGTGGCAATCATGCTGGAGTTTTTCTGTTTATTCTATTGCTGAAAAGTTGAACGAGAGTAGTGAGTGCTGCTTCTTTAGGTATCCCTTTGGGATTGCCTTTTTTCTTGACCCACTTCTGTTCTTGTCCCCACTCCAAAGTGTTGCTTTATTTTTTATACCATTGTACCAATTTTCTGTTCTAATAATAATAAATAGTTTGCTTCAACTCCAACCATATTTAGCGTTCTTATTTTTATATCTTGATTTCAGTTTGCTACATACCAATGTTTGAAATTTCGACCTGGCTATACTTTGTTGATTTCTCCTAACCAACCACGTTCATGAAAAAATGAGGGCAGCTGAGAAACTAAACACAAATTCATGATGCACTGAAAATGAGAGAAACATGAGGATGAATTTAATGTGATCGTTTTGACAACAGACCTGAGGTACATATGTTCCAAACGCGTTTTATTTCCATTGAGTGGGATCGGCTGGCGTAAATGCCAAAGCTTCAGAAAACAAGCAATATACCTTTGAGCCTAGTAATAATAATAAGTTTGTGCATAGTTCAAACTTACACAATTTAGATAAAATGCAAACTCAATAATAGCTGTGTGTCACCTTGAAACTTTAATATAAATCTGGAAAAAACACCTGCTTCGTAACTTGAAGTTTCATAGGACTGAGGTTTTGGAAGTATTCATACATTGCACGTATCACAATATTCTGGGATTTTAATTAAGTTTTATCTAACTTCAGTGATTAGTTGCTTATTTAATAATATTGCGCCCCTGAATAATAACACTGGACTTCTTTCAGCTCCGTATATCAGTAGTCCAGGTGTCTCTATTAGTTTTAGCGACCATCGGAATAGATTTTCTGCAGTAACATGAGTTGTTGGTAAATTCTGGTAGTCACAGTTCTTCGGATTTTTGATTTTTATTCATTCGTGTTCCTATTGACAACGTAACCATCAACTTAATTGTATTCACTACAGCCAGCATATGAACTAATGAAAACATCATCATCATTATCAACGTAGGACCAGGCATTACTGCGTAACGGTCCGAGTTGCCACAGCTCATTTCAGTACATCAAGGAAAAAGGCAGTGAAGTGGGAGATGAAGAGAAGAGAATTCGGTCAAAATACGTATGAAGTACGAAAAGAGAGAAAGGAAAAATGAGAAAATAGTGAGATTCGGTATAACGTTGTTAAGATGAGGATGAAATGTGTATACGTCTGCGCCACTGACATCGGTTCTGAACCATACCACTTAAAGTCTCCAACCACTGGTTCCTCTTGTCCCGCGGACCCCAACTGGCTAGTCTGCATCGCCCCACATGGCTCAAACCAACAGTCAGAAATTTCATATATTGGTGCCATATTTTAGTCTGGTCACGGGCCTTTTCCCGGCCTGAACCTACTTTGGCCAACATTGTGTGACGAGTCAATCGGCGACTAGGCATGCGTAATACGTGTCCCAACCATCTCAATCGATGAAGGTTCATAACCTCGTCAACTGATTTACCTCTACTCCCTAAAAATCTACGCCTGACGTCCGCGTTACCCATCTGGTGACACCACGGAATACGGCCTATACTACGAAGGCAACGGTAGTCAAACATTTGAAGCCTTCTCATGTCTTGCACCTTCAGTGGTCATGTTTCACAGCCATACAGTAGAACAGAGCAGACTGCTGTGCAGTACACGCGACCCTTACTAGACAATCGGGTATCACTGCGGTGTCATAGATGGCGTAAGTTGACAAAAGCCAGCCGAGCCTTTTGTATTCGTGCAAAAATTTCTTTAGCATTCTAACTAATTTACACATCACATTTTGTGTGCAGGCTTCTGACGTTTATTTTCTGCGGCAAGTGAAGTTCACTAAGTATCACACTGGTGATTTCCCCATAACAGTAATTCGAATGTTTTCGAAACATCAGCTGAATAACAACTCAGGGAAAAACGTAATCCCTGTTAGACTGCTGGTTGATTTAAAATGTAAAAACAACACAGTAAATTATTCAGTTACATCACCATGCACTGAAATCTCTGGTTAGCCTAATGGTAAGTCCCCTAGTTCATAAATCTATACTAGATTACTGAGTTACACAGTACATGGAAATAAGTACAAGGAAATGTGACTTCATAGACTGAGCACATAATTTCCCCAAGGACTTAGTCTTTTTATTATTAATAATATGATCAAAGTGTAGAATATCTGATTCTCATAGATGTAATGCATAATACTGTGTGGTATGTCACATAATATGGAGCTATGACCTGTTTGTTTGGATCTCTCACCCAGCTTACATGTCATAGAGTTTAGTTCTAATTTCTTCTGTTTCTATCTAGACTTCAGTTACCATGGTTATCTGTGACGAATTTCAACTCAATTTAAGATCTGAACATGTAATTGGTGATGCAGCTGTATTTTCAACTTGTGAAAGAGTCCATTGTTAATTTGTGCAATTTTTTAAAGGTTCATTTTACTGTTTCCCTAGTAACACCTGTTATAATATTGCACTTGACTTCACTTTTGATATTTTTTTTATTCGCTCTATCAGAGTTTTGGTGATCATGTTATTCGCATTATAACACCGCACGACAAGAAAACCATTTTATTTTACAATGATAAGTCGTTTGATTTAAATGTAGATGAAGGTAAGTATGAATGCACAAACTGTTTTGTTAGTGTGATCTGCCTTTTCTTCTCTTGATATGTGGATTTTATAAATTGATGCATTTTCCCATACTTATTAGCTCATAATATGTATTTGAAGAAAAGCTTGTTGATTTTCTCAAGCTCCTCATCGTAAACAGCAGTTGTTCTTTTTTAACTTTGATGTTAACTGGGTCTTATCATACACCGCACAATAAATACCTATTGAGAGTGTTGCTTTAGTGAAACATGGGACATGCTGGTCATTAAAAGTGGAAATGAAGAATCTACCATTGTTTGATCAACTGTGTCCTCAAAGTATCACTTGCATAATTTAAAGCCATAGGTTGAGCTATGTTTAATTAATTGTGTGCCCAATTTATGTCACCTGAAACTGAATGAAATAGGTTTAGCCACCGTTATACATTCCCAGTAACTGCATATCTAGGCAAGCTATGTAGAATTGAGAAGTTAGATAGAGGAGTATTGGATTTGTCAGAGTAAGATACGGTATTATCGTATAACATGTATTTTTTACTTGTGTAATACCGGCGTAGTGTATTAAAACAAATAACAAAGTAAACATATATTTTGTATTATTCCTCAACGTTTCGATCTTGCTAGGAAGATCGTTTTCAAGTGTATGAGTCTGAGTTTTCAGGTTAGTATTCAATAATGTATCACCTTATAGGTTCAGTAATCGTTAAGAGAGTAATTTAAGGGAATGACGGTATGGTATTTACATTCTGATAGATGTCAGGAGTCGATGATTAAATGAACCAATGCAAGGTATATCTTCGTGGTGTAGATACATTCGCTTTTCATCAAAAAATTCAACAACTGCTCACTATTTATTTACCACTTATTGTCCGCATTGTTATCCCTTTTGTTGGTTCTCATACTTTGTTTTAAGTATCGTTATCTTGAATGAATGCACTTTTTTCAATGTTTGTATAGGTCTATTCGTATTTGTGTTTTGTTTTGAATTATTGCATTAAACTAACATGAACCCATCCATATGTTAGTCGGCTTTTGTTTGGTATCGGTAGTTCCTTTTCGGTGAAGTGTAGATATGTTATAAAAGCGATGAAAACAGTGTGCTGTACTATTAAACTTGACAAAAGGATTTGTCTAAGTCAATAATCTAACTTTTCATTCACATGTACAGTTTGCAAAACAAAATACATCTTTCCGTTGTGGAGAAATCGTTGATTTTCCCCCTCTATGAGATGGCAGTCCTTTTCTATCATTTTTTTCGCTGTTTGTTGCGTTGAATTGTAGTAACTTAAATTGATGGATGCAAGTGCTAGGTTTTGCGTTAATTTGTTGCTTCGCCTCTGCCACTTGACTATCAAACATTCTGTATGATCAACTATGTAACAACTCTTCCTTTTTAGCTATTTTATTACGTTTCATTTATTTCGGTTTGCTTCTGTGGTGATTTATCTCTGTGCTTTCAAAGTTTTTATTTGACCTTTGTGGCTAATTACACTTTTTTGATGTTGTCCACCGACTGCGAACTGACTTCAGTACTGAAGCTCTTCAGGTTTCCCAACATTTCTTGGTTTTTTTTCTAGGAAACATTTCAACATTGTTTTGGTTGGATTCATGATCCTCAGTTTTGATAAAAGGAATACCTAACTTGTAATCAATGCTTTTAAAGATAAACTGTATGATATGCACTTGTATTTAATGTGTGTTTAGTACACTACCAATAAGCAGTTGAAATGTTTTGTCAGATTTTCACAAATTATCTTGCAGGCAACCTACCGTTGTTGTTATCAATGGAAAAGTCTCATAGAACAAAACTTTTCTTGATTCTTATCCACTTTTCCTTGCCTATCAATGTTAAGGCATCTGAAATTTGAGTTTGAAGTCTGCATTTACTGCCACAAATTATGAAACCAATGGATGCCTCGCAGCGAAAATAGATTTCTGAATGATTGACGTGAAGCGAAATGCAGTCCATAATGTATACGAAATTAAAATCGTATTATTCCACTTCTACACTTTAATACTTCAAAATGGTAGAGTTGTGATTTTTTCAGAAATCCCTATCTTTTGAGTTCAAATATTTGGCCGATATCTGCTACCTTGACGTGGTGGTCGGGCTTGCATACCACAATGACCCGACGAATTATGCTGGTGGAACACTTGTTCCCTCGAGGTCCTACCATACCAGAAAGGTCTGTTGGATAGTGGTACGACGAAAAGCAGTTACCGTTGTAGTATAAATTACTGCACTATGATGGGGGTCATGCTGATGCTGCCTTCTCAGTGGAAATGGGGGGAGCGGGGTAGAAAAGGTCGGTCCCCAAACTAGCACTCCACCTTGCACCACGATCTTTCGGTGGCGGCGGTATGGCTTCTCTATATCTGGCGTTAGAACAATATAACCTCAAAACAACAACCGGCAAATGGCCGTCTGTGGCAGACTTTAAGCAGATGTCTCATGGGCTCCGTGGTCACTGAAATCTTCAAAATTCACCCTACGGGTATCCTGAGGCCCAGTGAATCGCTCCAGTGGACTCGCTGGTATAGGCATAACATTGAGTTGTAGAGCAGAAAGTATGCTTTTCAACTAGATACCAGTCAACAGCCGTCTATGTGCTGTTCGACTGAATGAATCTGTAAGAACTACGAAGGATCGTGAGACTAGGCGATACCTATTCGTAATCTCCACCTATGCACCCACTGAGTGTAGTTCGGACGATACAAAGGATGAATTCTATGAGCTGTCAACTTTGATACAGAGAGCGAAACGTTCGGATATAGTCATAATGACAGGTGACTTTAACACTCAAGTGGGAAAGTTGAGCTGAGCCAATCGGAAAGGCATCTTGGAGGTTTCTACGGAATCCCATGCCAGCCAACCGATAACGGTGATCGTGTTGCAATTTTGTCCCCACAATCACTTGTTTCTGGCCAGCACTGACTTGAGGCGTCCGCCGACTTCAAAATGATGGACACAGATAGATCATACTTCTATAAGCCATCGTTGGAGAGGATCGGTGGAGGGCTGCCTCTCTCTTAAGTACGAGTTTTGACTTCGATCGCGCACTAGTAGGGGCTCGTATATGTCCACGCAGGAATTAGATGATAGTAAGGCCTGTCTATGGTCGATTGGAAGATGAGGGCGTCTAGACCAAATTTAGGGAAGAGATAGCTAACCACTTATCTAAACATGACAGCAATGCTCGTCCTGAGGAAACCTAGCATGATATTAAGTCTGCTGTAGAAACAGCGGTAAACAAAATTGGTAACCTACACCCGAAGGTTTCCAAACGTCAATGGATTCCAACGACGTTATCCGAACTGACTGATGTGAGAAGACTGATCTCAGCTGGCCCTGCCCGTGATGAAGAGCGGAAGTAACTTAAACGTAAGCTGACCAAGAGTCCGTTGCGATCGCGGGCAGTGGTGGGTGACACTCGGTGACTATTTAAGCTTATTAAGGATACAGGCAAGAAGAAGACGGTGGTCAGTGAAACCGTCATCGAAAAGAATGGAGCGTTGATAACCTCCCAGGACAGACGGCTAGAACGTCGGGCAGAACGCTTTAATTTAAAGTACAGTTCAACTGGTCCTCAGTAATGCATCAGTTGTCCAACATCCAGCCTGAACCTTAACGGGAAGTGGATGTTGGTCCTCCAACTCTCCTTGAAGTTGAGAATGCCGTATCGAACCTGAAGCGATGCAAAGCAGCAGGACCCGAGAGTTTTCCACCTAAAGTTTCCAAGGGTGGAGGTAGGAAATTGTTGCTTAAAGTGACGGGGTTATTAGGTAGTGTGTGGGAATCACAGGTAGTCCTGTCGGACTGGTCTACTTCTCTGACCATCGCAGTCTATAATAAGGTAGAGGAATCTCCTTGCGACAAGCATAGAGGAATTAGTTTGACTAATATTGCGTCCAAGATCCTAAGGTCCATAGTTATCGGATGCCTAACTGAGGGTCGAGGAAACCGGTGATGTTTCAGAGCACCTGGATGAGGGTGCATCGACCATATGTTTATCCTTCGATAGGTTCTGGAGCACAGACATACTTACCAGCCAGTAGCTGACACTTGCCATATTTCTCGACCTCCAGGCGGAGTTTGACTCAGTCGACAATGAGGTGTTGTGGCAGTGTCTGACTTTGAATGGATTACCGACCAAGTATAAAATGCATATCAAAGCTTTCTACTCGAGGTCACACAGCCGCATAAGGGCTTATGGAGGGTTGTTACGTGAATTGGCGACAACTAGTGGTGTCAGTCACGGGTGCCCACTGTCACCATTCCTATTTAACTTAATCATAGGCATACTAATAGACATAACGTTAGGTACGTCTGACTTCACAGGGATTGACCTACTCCCTGAAGGTCATTTGGTTGATTTGGAGTATCCAGACGATATTGTCGTGCTAAGTGAAGACGCTGATAAAATGCAGGGTATTCTGGACGCGTTCAACAGAAATATGTATATGTTTGGCATGTATTTCACACCTGTGAAGTGTAAGATGATGCTCCAGGGCTGGTCTGCTACAACCACTCCGAGTTTAGTGATAGGGAGTGAAGTGGTGGAATGTGTCTACTACTTCATTTACACTTGGTGAATTGCATCAGCCCGAGCAGGCTGGTTACCGACGAAATCTCGGCTAAGTTACAGAAGGTGATTCTAGCGCTTGTCAACTTGAGTCATCCGTGACGCCAACTGGTGAGATATCCGACTGCTTATTACAGGATGAGTATAATGCGCTTCAGTCCATTCTGTCCTGTTATAGGGCTGTGAAACACGGCCACCAAAAGTAGATGTGAAACGATTACAGGGTTTTGATCGTAGATGACTTTGTAGCATCGCTTGCGTTTGGTGAAATCACTGTATGAGCAATGTAGAGGTCAGGTGAAGGGTACTAGGTGAGACAGGCAATTCGATTGATGAGATTGTGAACCTTAGTCAACCGACATGGCTTGCACATGTACTGTGCATGCCGAGTCACCACCTACCTCGACGTGCCATAGCTGGCGGAAGTTGGATTAGGTTGGAAGAGGGTTCAGGATGACCAGACCAAGACGTGGCACCAGTCAATGAAGTCCCTTACTGCTAGTCTGAGTCATGTGGGGAGATGTAGACTGCCTGGTTGGGGTCCTCGAGATGAAAGGAATTAGTGGTTGACGAATCTTGGTTACATGGCCACAATGGCGCAGACGTATTCACTCCCTGACATCTTCTAAGGCTTGGTTATTCGCTCTAGCCTTCAGATTGTTTATTCTGTCATGCAGTTTTGTCAACGTTGATGTTATTCTTTTTTTACCCACCTGTTCTTTGTGTACTACTGTGAAGTGTGGTAACTTGAGCTGGTGCACTTGTGTGCGAGATTCTACGTTAATTTTGTCGGATACGTTTCAAATGATCTACAGATACCCCAGCAATATTTCTTTGCTAATTCCCGTAACTGACTATTGTGTCAGAGTGAGCTATACAATATCACTGGAAGCTCACAACCTCTTCAGCTGTTTTTCTAAATGTCGGTCGTAACTAATTCTCCGATTTGTCGTAAAAGAATGTGTCGCATTGTGATTTTTGGCGTTGCGGTTACCGGTGTCGTCCGTACGCCAATGATGCCTGGCCACAAGGATATGAAACTTGAATGACGCTGCGTCCGAAACACTTGGCTAAACTCTGATTGTTTTTGTTTGCTGAGTTCACCTAGCATTTTAGTAGTCACCATTATTGTCATCTTAAACAGGTTGACGTTGGCAAACTACACCGAGCGTTGCAACTAAATACCAGGACGAACTAGATTCAAGACTAGCACTAAGAACGGAACTCCAGAATGTATAGGTGAGGACTGGCTGCACTTACAAGATGCCATGAAAACGGTGAGTAATACTGCTTGTGTCTTTGAAGAACACCTAACTAACAAACACTGGGTTTTTTGCGACCTCTTGACACACTCGTGAGTGTATTCCAGCAGGCAGCGAGTACATTGGTGTGCATAAGCCTCCTGAGCAACATATTATTTTTTTCCCCTTGGGTTCCTAGGCTAACATAGGGCTTCAGTAGCACGTCTACATTTTACTCTGTTCTCTGCAGTCTTTTCAACCTGGCACCACGACTGCCCACAAGCTTTCATTTCTTCCTCACATGATCTCCATGTCGCTCTCGGATGCCCAACTCGTCGTTTCCTCTTTGTATTCCACTCCAGGGCCTGGCGCGTGATGTCCCCAGTCAGTCTCCTCAGTGAGTGTCCAATCCATTTCCCCTTTGTTTTGCATATTTGTTGAGTGATAGGTTCTTGGTTGGTTCGTTGCCAGCCACCCAGAGTTCCTTGTTACTTATTCTTTCTGGCCATCCATCCGATCTTCAGTATCGAGCGTAGGCAGTCTGTAGTTTGTTGGAAGTGCTTTTCGTGATGCGCTAAGTTTCTGAACCAAATAGCAGCACTGAGTAGAAGTCGGTGTTTCAAATCCGGATCTTGTTCTTTGTGCTGAGTGCAGTAGATCTCCACGCTGATTTCAGGTTTATGAAAGCCTGTCTCGCTTTTCCTATCCTGGCCTTGACGTTCTTATCTGTGCAGCCGTCTGTAGTTGGAACGATGCTGCCTAGGTAGGTTAAAGAGACTACTTACTTTAGATTTCTCCCGTTAGTAGTGATTGGTGCTTATTGTTCAATACTATTGTTGTTTGAGTATCTTCATAACATCCGTCTTCTTTACGTTCACTTGAAGTCCCGTCTTCGTTGCCCTGACTCTCCTGTCAACTTGTTATTTTTCGCCTGTAGATCTTCCAGTTTGTGTGACATTATACATAAGTCATCGGTGAAATCCAGATCTTCCAGGATCTTTCCCCAGTCCAGCGTATCCCCCTCTTCTCGCTCCCCACTGTTTGTTGCATGATCCAGTCCACTACAATCACAAATATCATGGGTAGTAGTAGACAGCCTTGTTTCACTCCTGTCTTCACTACAAAAGCATCACTGAGCTTCCCATTGTGAATTACTTGGTGTGTGCCATCTTCATATAGTTGTTGAATAAGATTGATAAAGGTTTGTGGTATTCCGTAGTGTTGAAGCAGTTGCTAAATTACTTGTCGGTCGACGCTGTCAAAGGCCTTTTCAAAGTCGATGAAGTTGAGGTAGAGGGTTGACTGCCATTCTATACAGTGTTCTATGATGATGTGTAGCATGGTGTTGCAATTTGGTCCGCACATGATTTGTTTATCCTGAAGCCAGCCAGCCTGTTCGGGTCGTAGTTTTGAATCCAGCGCATCCTTTAGTCTCTCCAGTATGATGCGGCATAATATTTTGCTCGGGATGGACAGAGGCATGGTTCCACACCAGTTCTTGCTAAGACTTATGTCTCCCTCCTTCCAATCGAAGGTACCTTTCACTCCTTCCAAATCCTCTGCAACAGTGATGTGAGCGTGTCCGCTGTTTCCTCTGTGTCTGTTTTCAGTGCTTGTTGAGGAATTCCTTCTGGTCCCACTGCTTTCCCTGCTTTCAGAAACTTTATGGCGTTCAGGACTTCGACTTTTGTTGGAGGATTTGTGTTCACTGATAGTTCTGTGACAGGGCTGCTGGTGGTATTTCTGAACGAGTTGCAGGTGGTGATGGTGGTCGATTCAAGCGTTTTTTGAGGTGGTCAGCCCATTGTTTCCTTTGTTTCTCCTCTTTGGTAATTATATTTCCTTCACTATCTTGCATTGGTTTCGTCTGCGTTGATCACTTCCCGGATAGTAACCTGGTAATTTGATATAATCTTGTCAGGTCTCTCCTACCTGCAGCCTGTTCTGCTTCACTTGCAAGTGTCTTTTGTCTTTCTGCGCACTGTTCTTCACTTCTTTGTCCAGTGTTTTGTAGGTTGTGTTGAGTTCCTCTTCTCGTTGTGCATCCCTGCACCGCACTAGTTTACCTTCTGTTTCACCATCCTCCTCTCCTCTATCAGCTTCCATGTGTCCGTCGAGATCCATTTCTTATCTTCTTTTTTCTTCCTTCCTAATATGTTGTGCAGGTTTCTTTCCACATAGCTTTCAAAGAGTTCCAGTGTTCATCCACACAGGTTTCTTCAGGGATGCTGCTCGATATCTCCCATTTTGTCTTGATGGGTGCCGTGAAGATTTTCTTTGTAGATTTGTCCTTGAGTTTCTGTTTTGGGTGTTGAACTTGAACTGTGGTCTATCATCAACTTCTTTGAAGGCTTTCAGCCTGATTTTGAGGGTTGCTTGCACTAGGTAGTGAGTGATGTGAACCTACATCTGCTCCCCTTCCTGATCTTGTGTCCAGTCGGCTGCGTCTCCACTTTCTTGAGATTGAGATGAATTCGATCTGATTTTTAGTGTGTCCTGGTGTCTGGTGAAATCCATGTCGCTTTGTGAATGTCATTGTGTTTGTACACACTGCCTTAAATCACCAAATCGTTGAATGCGCAGAAGTCTGCAAACAGTTCTCCATTCTCATTCTTCATTCCACCAAGTGCTTCTCGACTCATGACAAGTTCTCTTCCTGTGTTGTCTGTACGGAGTTTGGCATTCACGTCGCCCATTAGAATTTTGATGTCGTCATCTGGAGTGGGGTCTTGTCTGTTACTGATTGCCGTTGTCTATAGAATCCCTCCTTCTTCTCTTGATCTGCATCATTTGTAGGTGCGTAGCGTGGGATTGATTGTATGATTGTAACTTTCCTTCCTTTTGATTTGCTGTCATGATACAGCAGGAGGAGATTGGTTCCCACTGCATGAGAGCCTTCGATGCTCTTGGGGAAATCATGATTGCCACTCCAAAACTCAATGTGCTCGTGGTTGTCGTCTGGTTGGCAATACTGGAGTAGATTATTGACTCTCCAGTTAAGAGTTTGGAGAGTCCACTTCCATTCCATCTGTTTTTTTTATAGATTCCTAGCACTTCTATGCTATACCTTCTCATCTCCTTTGCAATCTAGATGGCCTTGCTAGGTTCAAACATGATGCGGATATTGCATGTCCCTGCGTTTATTTTCGCTTTGATCGAGAGAAGAAATATCGATCAGTTGGCTTCCTGAAAGCTTTCACCGATCGGCTTCCTTTCGCCACTCCGATTCCAGCGAGGAATAATTTTGTCTTTATTTTTAAAAATATTTTGCTTGTGCTTTGCAGTTTCTTTAGCGGTTGGATTGGTTCTATGGGGTAGGGTTGCTAGCCCTATGCCCAACCTTTCCTCTTTATTTGGGTTTAGGACCGGTTAGTAACTGGTGAAGTAGTCTAGCAGGTGAGGTTAGTTTGTGCGATATTGGCAAGCATTTTGTCCTTCTGGCAAATGCACTCGTTTTGAACTCAGAAAAGTTAGCTGATTGTGGAATACATCAGACTTTTGAGGATGCGGAGATTTATGGCTGCGAGGTAAATTGTGGAAGGTTTCAACCAACAACGGATGTGGGATATTCAGCCTTGTTATCATCATCACTATTATTATTGTTCTTATTGCTGTTACGATTACCATTATCGTTTTCATTACTGCGATTATTATTATTGTTACTCGTATTATCATTATTATTGATGTTATTATCATTGTTGTTGTTACTGTTACTATTATTACCTCTATTATTATTACTATTATTGTCATCATTGTTATTGTTATTATCGTTATTATTATTACCGCCATTATCATTATTATTATTGTTGTTACCACTACCGTCGTTATTACTACTGTTACTATTACTACTACTATTATCGTTATTATTATCATTGGTGACTACACTAGTTCTCTAATTAGAGTAGAAGTTTCAGAAGACCAGTGCTTACATCCAATCATAAAGTCTTTCAAAAAAGTTCCGTAGGCTTTGTTATTTTTTATTTCTACTTCACTAGAAGTTCTGACTAATCATCTGAAAATAAAGCTCACTGTTGCGAAATTAAGATTATTGCATTATATTTCAAGTTGTTATTCATCGTAGACTGACATCAGTTGGAGGAACAAAGGAAACCTGAGAGCACTGGACTGCTGTTTCGTCCTAGTATGGGACTCCTCAGCAGTGCGCACCCACGACCCCACCAGCAGGGTCAACTTATGTCAGTGTACGATAAGTAACAACTTGAAATAATTCCAAATCTCCACAACTCCCTCAAAATTTATTGCATTATATGTAAAATGGAGAGTCCTAAGTATTTTAGCATAAGGCGGTCCAACCAGAATGACAGTAATGTTAGTTAGGGGGAAATGGTTCTCCAGTTTTACCATATGTGTGATGAAATAACTTGCAATTGAGGAAATAACTTTGAGTTGTATGAACTGAAGTGAGTCTTGAGTTTTATCTCCAATATTACTGCATGAAAGAAGTTCAGCCGTTCAAAAGTTATGAGGAAGAGTGATTTTGAGAAGTCGCGCTTTGCCAATTTCCTATGTAATTACATAGGCCTATGCTTTCTATAGTAAATTTTCGACCTATTTTCATTAATAACTTTTGAACGGATAGGTACTTTTCGAAACGGTTTGTTTTATATTTATACGCTCATTGTGATTTATTCAACGGCATATAGCATGTGCTCTGGTACTGGTACGAAAAATTCGCGCACTACGGCTCGTCTTACTCTCCATGTTGTATAGGGAGACTACCCCTAACTTCAGTAGTCTTCCCATTATGGTAGGCCATGGTCAATGATCTTGGCTTTTCAGGAGTGCCCTTGTTACACTACACTACAATTAACTTTCCCTCTGCTGCTAAAAAAAGTTTGATGCTAGGTGTCTGCTGAAATGTTTTCGTTCGTCTTCTATCTTCCTCTGGTATTGTTGTTATCACCAATAATATCTGGATTATAATATCCAGACTGACGTCTTAGACAAAGGATGTTATCAGGATCAATCATGAATAATGAAAAAAGGACTGTGACTGATTTTCCAAATGTTGTGTTAAAAGCAACAATGTTACAAGCTTTTTTCAATGCTACGGACTTTGTAAAATGAATAGTTGATTCGCTTACTGACTATTCCTTCAGTAGTGTTTGTCTTGGTGATTAATAGGGGTATTTCACACTGCGCACGTCGAGAACCGTATAGTTAGTACTTGTCTCTAAATGTGTAACATGGATGGAACATATTATTACCAAACCGTACCTGTCCAATAACTACCTAGTCTTGTAATTCGTCCCACTTACCGGCATATTCTAGTCATTATTAGTTTAAAACGCTAGAACCATAATCATTGAGACTACCTTTATGATAGTATATATATGGTTTGGGTAAAACTGGCAAAAGTGAACCATCACAACGCACAACTGAATGGCTTCAATGAAAATCACAGTCTCTCAGAAGCCACGTAATAAGCGGTTTGACGGGAGATTCAACGCTAAACACGAAAATGTTTAAATAATGCAATGGGAACACCATTTGCAGAATAAGGTGATGTTTTATTTTGAAGGATTTTCATCAGCTGTATCAATAATTGAAAAAGTAAAGATTCACTGTAGAAATTTCAACAAACCTCTCATATAAATCATCATCTGACTACTCCGTGAAATGGAAAACAAATGAACCAAGCGGAAAACGAATGGTGCAGTTAGTGATCACCGATACACATGACCGGAAACAGAAGTATCATTTTAAGACTTATAATCAAAAGCAAACTAGATGTACTTATGACATAACACTTGACAGCATTGGCAACAACAGTTTCAAAGTTGAGAACACCGAAAAAGAATGATCAAAATTTTGAAAGCACTACAACGGAGAAAAGTGATTGCGCGGCCAGTTGGTTGAGACAACCAACGACAAAGCAGAAAAACTTCGGAAAGAATTGGATTACAGTATCTCGAACCCCTTAAAACTGGAATCGCTCGCTGGATTTAAGTCGTCGCTCAAAACATCAAGGTTAAATCATGAAACTGAACAAGAAATGCAGCAAACAGTCGTGCCACTCATTAAGCAAGCAAACGATTGCACTCAACTGATCACTCAGGAACAGTAGGCATTAAAACACTGAAGAATTCAGAAAATATTGTTGTGCTCCTGGCAAACAAAGCGTGTAACACTGTAATCATTACTAACAAGGAACACTACATCAAGAAAACAGGATTTACTGAATGAGGATGTATTGTTATTATTATGGATAATATAGTAGGAATACAAGCATGGCACATCGCACCAAGAAATGTGTCATACAAAACAGCAAAGCGAATGTTTGAAGACGCTGGAAACCGAATAGAGAATGGTAACAAACATAGAAGATAGTTATTGCAAAAGCAGCCTCAAGAAAATGTCCAAAAAAGCATTCACTACTTTCGTTTAACTTATAATTGACAGAAAAAAAACAAGAAAACTTCAGCTTGTTAGAACATAAAGCTTTCAAGATGTCAACAAAGATCTGATGTATGGCTCTCTCCACCGAATTTCAACCTATAGCTGCTACCTGAACGTGGTGGTCAGACTTGTATATCACAATAAACATGCTGGTTTGAACGCTTGTTCTATCGACGTCCTACCATACCAGAAAGTTCAGTTGGGTCAGAGTATGACAAAAGGCAGTTACTAATGCAGTATAAATCACTACACTTTGAAAGGGATCAAAGAATGAAGTTGTAGTGCTGACTTGAGTGAGGGTGTGACAGTAGTAAGGTTTTTCCCGCAGATTGCCGGAACACGCTGCTGAAGGTCGGAGTGGCAAAGGTTGACCCCACAAATATCATAATTTTCCCTATCCTGCAGTCTCCCGGTGCTGATGGTATAGGTTTTACTGCTCGCGTTAGAGCAGCCGAATATCAAACCGATAATCCTCAAATGACTGTGTGACAGGCCTCAAGCCGGATATCTCATAAACTCTGGCTCGACCGATAGCTGCTACCTTGACGTGGTGGTCGGGCTTGCATACCACAATGACCCGACGAACTATACTGGTGTAACACTTGTTCCCTCGAGGTCCTACCATACCAGAAAGGTCTGTTGGATAGTGGTAGAAGGAAAAACAGTTACCGTTGTAGTATAAATTACTACACTATGATGGGGGTCTGAGGACGAAGTCGTACTACTGCTAGCTGAATTGGGTTGTAACAGAAGTAGTGTGATTTCCTTGGATGACCAGCAGTGCCATGCTGATGCTGCCTTCTCAGTGGAAGTGGGGGGGGCGGGGGTAGAAAAGGTCGGCAGCAAAAATAACACTCCAGCATACCCCATGGTCTGCCGGGCCGGCGGTGTTCGTTCATTTGTCGTTTCCTTTCCACCATCCGGCCCGAAAAGCACAAAAGTTCAAAATAATCATACACCATAGGCCACGTGTTACAAGCCTCAAGCAAATGTCCGATGGTCCCTGAGGTCACACAAATCTCTTCCAGGTACCTTAAGAAGAAATAGCCTTCCACGGTGTAGGCAGCCAAGAAGCGTCGACCGCCCTCACTATTTGACCACCATTTAAGTTTCTTCAGACTGCTATCCACCCCCTCCCTCCATCATTACCTTCTAATCTTCCTTCACCTCTCTCAATTAACGATACTACATCATCTTTAATTTCTTCTAGTCTCTGCAGCCTTCGACAACGATCTGAATCCACAGAACAGTATCCTTGGTTTTCCTGAACCACATTCCAAGTTACATATTGGAGCCTTCAATGTCCGCACCCTCCGTCAAATTGGTCAACAGGCTTCATTGGCAAAGATTCTAGCAACTCTGGTTGTGGAGGTATGCTGTGTTTGAGAGACTTGCATACAGGACCCAAGTGCGGTTATTCACCTGACCCCTTCCGACCAATATGGTGAATCCGCGAAACTCACCCTTCGAGTTTCTGGAGATTCGGTAGCTAGCTCTCGCGGTCTTGTAGGTGTAGGCATAGCACTGAGCACTAGGGCAGAAAACTCACTACTAGACTGGATCCCAGTTGATAGTCGTCTTTGCTCTATCCGACTGAACGGCACAGTGAGAACTAAAAGGATTAGTGAAACTTGCCGCTGTCTCTTTTTAATCTCTGCTTACGAAAACACTGACTGCAGTTCGGATGAAGTGAAGGAAGAGTTCTACCGTAAACTGTCTAACCTCCTCTCGAAAGCCAAACGTTCGGACGTGGTGGTTGTTGCAGGTGACTTCAATGAACAGGTGGATAGACTGAGTGAGGCAGAAAGGCACTTAGGTGGCACTTTCGGAATCCCAGCTGAAAGTACAGATAACAGTGATCGTCTACTACAACTATGCTCAGATAACCGCCTATTTTTGGCTAGCACAAATTTCAGACACAAAGAAAGACACTGTCTGATGTGGCGTCCACCTAGCTCAACTCAGCGATAGACACAGATAGACCACATTGCTATTAGTCATCGCTGGAGAGGATCGGTGGAAGACTACCGCTCCTTCTGGAGTACGTGTTTGGATAGCGATCATGCGTTGGTCCGAGCACGTATATGCCTGCGTCTCAATGGACGTA